TGTCGGGGCCCAGGCCGTCTGCTGCCTGGTCTGCACCAGGACCCCTGGCTCTGGGGTCCTCCGTGGAGGAGGAACAACGCAGGCCGTCTGCTCGAGAGGCCACTCCTGTCAGAACCGGACCCGCCAGGTGAGGCTGGGCGTGGAGGCCAGTCCCAGACAGCAGCTGGGTGGCGCCTGTCCCGGCCCCGCAAGCCACGTGCGTCCTCACCACCAGGGGGCAGGCCAGGGCGGCCGCAGCGTCCGTGGGTCTTGAGGCCGTCACAATCTGGGAGACGCTAGTTTGAGGGACAGATCACTGACACGGGCTCGCGCGGCAAAAACCCGTCGGCATCGGGGCACGGACCCCGAGAGGGGAGTGCGACCAGCTCATGCCCCCCCAGCCTCAGGGTGATCCGCCCCGAAGGGGGCTGTGGCGCCCCCCGTTTCGTGGGTGATGGGAACTCTATAGAAGCAAGTACGGTACTGTGGCAGGTGCACCGAACACGTAGCAGGTGCTATGAGCTGAAAGCGTGTGTGTCCGAAGGTCTGACCCCCAGTCAACCGTGCTGGATGGCAGGGCCTTTGGGAGGGGATCAGCCTTGGATCAGGGCGGAGCCCCAGCCGTGGGCTCACTGTCCTTATAAGTAAAAGGGACCAGAGCTCTCTCCTCCAGGTGAGAAGGCCAGGCAGACAGTGTCACTTAAGCCGACCCTGCTGGCTCCCTGGTCCCAGATTTCCCACCTCCAAACCGTGAGACCTAAATGTCTGTCGTTTAAGCCGCCCCGCCTGGCATTTTGTTACAGAAGGCAGCGTGTGACAGCAGCATCTCGAAGCCGAGCATTGAGCGTGAAGGCAGCGTAAATAATCACACACGCAGCCTCGGAAAGGGAGCCGCAGCGGCCGTCTCAGGGGAGCCGCCTGCTCGTCTCATCCTCAACCACTCGGGATGTTAAAGCAGCACAGAGTCACCTTTGGATGGGGCCTGGGCAACCTGGTGTCCCAAAGGACTGTTTGCAAAGATGACAAGAAAGCAGATGTCACGACTCCAGCACCGGTGACTCTGGACTGAGGATTAAAGACACTGCTTAGAGTCGGCGTCACCGTATCACGTGATCTGCACCGATATCCACGTCGCTGTCCCCTCCCCTTTCTCAGAGACACCCACTGCCCATGTCCCCTCATCGGGACCCTGTCTGGGCTTCTGCTGGAGTCAGCGCGTCCCCAACAGCCGTTCTCCGTGATCTCAGACACTCGCTTGTCGCCTGTCACTTTGGAAGGGCTCTGACTCTGAGATCAGCAGCAGTGTCGTGGGGCCCTACTCACCGATGTAGGACAAAGGGGTGACGAGTTCCGAGCAGCGTATTCTGGAGTCCTTGCTGGTTCCGTTCACCAGTAAGCGGTATTGGGTGCTGGCGAACCCAGAGATGTTACCGAAGCGACACTGGACGTATGTCCCCTGGTCGTTGGCTGTGTACTGTGGACACGGCCACCGCTGCTCAGTGCTGCGGTAACCAAGGGCACGTTTAGCGATGAGCCGGGGCCCGTGCCCGGGAGCCCCGCCACACCCAGGTCACACCTACTTCACATTCTCCAGGTACAAGTGATATTGGACGTCCCTCGGGGCCTCCCTGCCCACCTGCCAGCTGCACGTCAGGACGTGGACGTCGTGCACCCAGCAGTCCAGGTGTTCGGCCGCCGACCCAGGCTCCCCTTCTGGCTTGGCAAAGAAATTAACAACAACAAAAAGCGAGCCCCTATTTAGGACAACATGAGGATTTCGAGGTTCTCGCGACTCCCCATGCGCTTACAAGGAACAACACAGACACATGGGTGCGGACGTCCCCCAGGTCTCCCCACCGAGTGATGCACCTTCCGGCAAAACTTTAGGACAACGACTCGGCCAGGCTGTCGACACGCATGCGCTCAAGAGACAGGACACGCCCCTTCTTCGAAGGGTCCCCACGTGGCCCTTGCCTTATGCGTCAGCCACTGCCCTCCCGGCTGCGCCCCTGCCAGCCAATGCTCTGCTCCCCACAGCTACAGCTTTGTCATTAGAAAGGGGCTGTTCTTTTCTTTTTGTCACTTAGCCTTTCCCCCCCTGAGATCCATCCAAGGTAACAAATATGTCCATATTCAGAAGACTCGCCCGCGGTGGAAAGCAAATAGTCCAGGAGGAAAGCAAAGAACCGCTCACCTTGCTCCAGGTACTGAATCCACGTGGAGAACACGGAGCCGTCCCTCAGGGTGACGTGGACGGTGTAGTTTGACGCTTCGCATTTCATAAGCACGTAAAACTTGCAGTGACGGTGGTTCCTTGCCTGAGAGGGGCATCGCGATTTATTGATTGTTCAGAGAACATACTGGGTCTGATACTCATGATATTTAGATTAAAAACAAACAAACAAACAAAAAAACAACCGAGAATTGTGGTTCTTCCCAGTTTGATCCACACAGTCAACGCGATCCTGACCGAATGCCAGCGAGCCACTTCGTGGGGATCGACAAACTAGACACAATAAATAGGTCAGTGGCCGCCGGGGGCCGCGGGGGAGGGAGAAGGGATAAACGGCTGCAGCAAAGCCACTCTGTGTGACGCTATAGTAGCGCGTCCACGTCATTTCACGCTGTGCGCATCCACAGAACGTGCCACGGCCAGAGCGAACGCGAGTGTAAACCGTGCACTTTGCCGGGAACGACGAATCGAGGCGGGTTCGCCCGTCGAAGCGAAGGTGCCGCTCGGGCAAGGAGTTTGTGTGCGCCGGGGGCAGGGGGCATCGGGGAACACCCCGCGCCCTCCCCTCAACTTCACCCTGAACCTCCGTCACTGCTCTAAGAAGATACGCTTTATGAATTAAAAAAAAAAACAAACTGTAGAAAAAGTTGTGTAAAAATAATTCTGGGACAGTTTTTTCGTAAGGATGAGATGACAAAAGATAGGCAACGGAAGACAGGGGACGTGATCGATTCACAAAGTCAGGGGCACACGAAGCACACACGGCAGGAAAACGTAGCAGACGACTGAGCAGAATCATGACGTAGTCAAACCAGACGCCCGCATTACACAATGGCTTAAGATGCATCGAACTTTCTTAGACAGTTCCTCTTAGGAGTCCTAAATGTAGCCGCGACCTTGTGACTCAGGAATCCACTGCTAGGAAAAGAATGACAAAGTGTGGGGTAGACAGGTGTTCTCCCACCTGCCTTACCTGTGCAGAGCAGCCGTCAGCCCAAGGGTGGTGGCCTTCGTGCATGCAGGTCAGGGGAACTAGGGGGGAGGACACCTGACCCCCGGGAAGGGGGACCCGGCTTGGCTGAAGGCAGAGCCACCAAGCGAACGTCCGCATCCCGGACGCTGAGTCCTCGTTCCCGCTTGGTACCGGCATGCTGGTAGCTGAGCCTTTTCCATCACGGAAAGAGACCGGAGTTGTCGTTTCTGACAAATCTGATCAGCCACGCAGGAAACTCTCAAACGATCTGACAGACATTCCTCCCTATTTGCTCAGCCAGGACACCTGACGGTGAAGCCCACAGACCTCACTCCAGCCACTCGCTCAAATCTTTTCATCGCATTTCTGTCCCCTACTCTTAACCGTCCGTGAGTGGACGATCGAAGGTCATCGGAATTCTAAGAAGAATCTCTAACAACACGAGAGGGACCTAAACAAGTGAACGACAGCAAAATCAGAAGGATGCAGCTAGGGGTTAGTAAGAGAAGGAAACTGAAAACCGAAATAAATCACCGGCGAAGTTCTCGGGGCCCAAAGGACAGACACTGCACCCACGAAACAGGAACAGGGCACGAGGAAAAAGGAACATGAGAGGGCACGAGTCACAGGAGACGGTGGAGCTTACAGCAGAGCAGCGAGGAAAAGCTAAGTGCAGAGACCGAAGGCTACATTGGGGCAAATCTACAGGAAAGTAGAACAAATAGTCAATGGAGGCAGCAGAACGCAAGGCTGATGACTGGGCGAACCTATTAGGGGGAAATAATAATATAAATTGCCGCTTTTAGATATAAAAAAGAAAGAAAGAAAATTATATGACCAGTTGTCAAAGTCCGACAGCAGGATGACAATATTCATAGCAGAGAGAGAGCGAGCAGATAAATGACGGAGAGATGATGATGATGATGGTGACGACGGTGATGATGATGGTGATGATGATGATGATGGTGATGATGGTGATGACGGTGATGATGGTGATGACGGTGATGATGATGATGGTGATAATGGTGATGATGATGGTGATGATGATGATGATGGTGATGATGATGGTGATGATGGTGATGATGGTGATGATGATGGTGATGATGGTGATGATGATGATGGAGAGACAGACAGAAGATGATAGGTAGGTAGATAGAGAATAGATAGAGAGATGATGGATGACAGATATGGAGAAAAAGAGTAAATGAGCGAGAGAGAGAGAGAGAGAGAGAGAGAGGAATGTGTAGTACGTGGGGGACGAGTTCGCGGAGGAAACGCAGTTCAAGCTTACCATGCAACACATCGACAAGCTTTGACTACGCTGAAACGATCAAGAAGTTGCTACCCCAACCCCTCACGCAGAGACATCACGTGTCTAGCAGCAGAATCAGGTTTCTACAGGCTACAAGGGGAGGGATGATAGTGCGGAGCAGCTTTTTCCGTCATCGTAAATTGGGCACAGCCATGTTGCACTTGAAACTCCGGAGAGAGACGCTTGCATACAAATAAAAGCTGGGGTTCGGGAAACAACGCACATGCACCATGACACACGGGGACAGAAGCGGGGCTGAAAATCGAGCGCCTCCTGTCCTCTGAGAGCGAGATGCAGCCCCCATCACCTTCGCATGGGGAGGGAACGGGAGGACGGTGCAATATTTTGAAATAGTGCTCTATATTTTCTCCAGCGTTTTCAGCTGGGAGAAAAAACTATCCAGATCTTCCGGCTCTGTATTGACGTATGTCGGGAGCTGAGGTTCCAACTTGACTTCTGGGAATTGTGCTGGCGCCACGGAGTCAACAGTCTGCCACGTCGCCACCAATGTGAACTAGCATCGGCATATGGTTATCGACCCTGCGGACGCCTGTGTGTTTCTGCTCTTCTGTCTGCCCGTTAATTTTCGTGAGGGGTTATAGCTTTTCGGCACGTGTCCATCTGTGGGAGGGTGAGTTCCTGATCATCATCTTCCTTCATCGATATGTATTGGTTCTTCTTCGGCATTCACTGTTCCAGACAGAGTTTAGAGTCCGCTTGTCCACCTCCATTAAAATCCCACTGGGGTTTGTCGTGCACCGGATCGTGTCCTCCAAAATGTGTATGTTAAAGCCTTAACCCACCAAAGTGACCGTATTTACAGGTGGGTCTTAAAGAGGGGATTAAGTTGAAGTGGGGTCCCTGGGATGGGTCCCGATCCCATAGGATGGGTGTCCTCATGCGAAGAGGATATTAGGACAGAGACACACACAGAGCGACGACCAGATCAGGACACATCAAGGAGAGAGGCCCCAGGAAGGACCAGCCCTGCCCACATCCTTGAAAAATATGTTTCTGTTGTTTGTACCCGCTGCCCTCCCCCACCTCTGGCAATGCAGTAAATATACGGGGTGGTGATTTGCACCGTATTGAATTAAGGATAATTTGAGGACATCAAGTGTACTGTTAAGGAATGAGTCGTGTATAGACTGAATTGTCACTTGGCCGCCCGCGAGAGCTGTCACAGTCCCACAGACCCGCGAAGGTGGTCGTGACGAAGCGGACGCAGGCCGGGTTCGGCGGGGCGGGCGGCGGGGATGGGGGGCCCTGCGCACCCACCTGCAGTGGCCTCAGCCCGTTTCACAGCAGCCCTGTCAGCGGGGACCCACCCGACACAGCTCACAGGTGGCCAACCCTGAGCCCTGTCGCCTGTACGCGACCCACCCCACTCTGCACAGCTGAGCCCGGAGCCGAACCCGGGTCCCTGAGACACCAGAGACGGACTCGGCCTTTCCCGAGTTCTCGAGCCACCGAAAGACCTGGAAAGCTCGTGGGCCGAGAACAGGGAAGACGTCTTACCGTCACGGAGAAACGCCCGTTTACGGAACACCGGATTTCTGAGACGTTTCCAGTGACGTCCCAGCTGAGCCTTCTGTGCCTCGGCTCCATCCTCACGTTCGTAATCGGCGAGTTTGCATCTGAAACGTTTAGGAGCCGGAGTCAGGAGAGAGACACGAGATGCGTAAGCCGACCTCTCTGCGGGCGCGTCCCCCACGCGCCGAATCGCCCGGCATCCTTGGGGACTGGGGCTCCACGGGGACGAGTGGCCGCCGGGGCTGGCGGAAGCCGGGAGCTGGGAGCTGGGAGCTGGGAGCGCCTCGTCGACTTCATGAGCGCAGCCTCTCGAGGACAGAGAAAAGGACCCAGGAGCAGACGGCTCCTGCCAGGCCCGTGAACGTGCCACCTGCCCCTCGTCATCGGAAGGCTCCCGGCACGTCACTGCACTGAGGACAGAGAACTCCGCCCGCTCACGGAGTCACACAGCGTCCCACCCACAGTGCGCTGGCGCGCGGGCTGCGGACGGCAGCGGACGGTCTCTCTGGCGCCGCTTCACGAAACGCGAGGCGTGATGACGACTCACTGATACTCACGTTCCTACCGACCGGGAAACTCTCGCTGCGGTTGGGAAACCGCCCGGAGTAACGTGCATCGGAATGAGACGGCGAGTGGACGCGAGACCCGTCCGCGCCCGGGGTAATGTGGCCGGCAGTCCGGATGAGCAGATCGCCCGTCACCTTGTCTGGTCAGTGACTCTCTTACGGTGTGGACGGCATGACCCAATCCCATTCTGCCCATGACTTGAAGCTATAAAGGTTCCTCATTGAGTTACTCATAGCCTCTCGCTTAGAGGGTTTAGAGGGAAAAATGGCTGAAAACTTTCCAAACTTAATGAAAATTAGAAACCCAGGACCCCTAGAAGCTCAAAAAGCTGTCACACGGCACACACACACACACACACACACAGATACGCACACACACAGAGATACACACACACACACACACAGATACACATATCAACAAAGAAACATGCAAAATCCCCAACAGACATAATCAAATTGCTTTTAAAAAGGACGGGGAGAAGGTGTAGAAAGACAGTCTTAAAAACAACCAAATGAAAAAGGAGATGTGACACATTATAGAGACCAGAGATAAAGATCACTGCCGATCTAACAGAATGACATCTTCAGATGCCGAGAGACAAACCCCCGTCAGCCTAGAATTCTGCATCTCGCAACAGATGTGGGCACAAACTTTCAAAACAGAAAGGGGGCAGGAAATCCCCCTTCCTGACTGATTTGAGGAGGCCAGAGTCATCCCGATGCCGATTAATGCCAAGACGTTACAACGAGATGGGGCCAAGATCCCTCGTAAACATAGA